GTCTGCAATGCCACCTACTGTGACACGCTGGACCCCCTGGTCCTGCCAGCCCACGGCTACTACGTCAAATACGAGAGCAGCAAGGCTGGCAAGAGACTGGAGCGGAGCGAGGGGAAATTCCAGCACAAACTCTGCGCCCCAGGTACTGCCGCGGACGGCAGGGATGGGATGGACCCTGCAGCAACCCGCCGTCATGCTGGGCTCCCCTTCCTGCAGATGTTGTCCTCAGGCTGGACACGACGCAGCGCTTCCAGAGGGTGAAGGGTTTTGGTGGCTCCATCACCGACGCAGCCGCCATCAACATCTTGTCCCTGCCGGAGAGAGCCCAGGATCACCTGCTGCGCTCCTACTTCTCTGAGGAGGGTAGGACGTGGGGGACACAGGTGGGATGGTGGCAGGAAGTGTGGACATGATGGACACCTCGTGTCCCGCTGTGCTGGCAGGGCTGGAGTACAACCTCATCCGGCTCCCCATGGCCAGCTGTGACTTCTCCCTGCATGCCTACACCTACGATGACGTCCCCTACGACTACGAGCTCACCCATTTTGCCCTGCGGGACGAGGACACCAAGCTGAAGGCGAGCGGTGGGAGGGAGCAGGGAGGGGATGGAGGGTCACAGGGGCTGAGCTGAGCGGGCCCCTCCACCTCCTCCTGCAGATCCCCCTCCTTCACCGAGCCTCGGCCATGAGCAAGCGGCCGCTGTCGCTGTACGCCAGCCCCTGGACCTCCCCCACCTGGCTGAAGACCAGCGAGTCCTACGTGGGGAAGGGGACACTGAAGGGGCAGGCAGGGGACAAGTACCACAAGACCTGGGCCAACTACTTTGTACGGTGAGGAGCTGCTGGGAGATACCTGGGGGTCTCTCAGTGGTGGCACTGAGCACTCCTCATGACTCACCTCTTCCTCCACGCCAGGTTCCTGGATGAATATGCCAAGCACAATGTGACATTCTGGGCAGTGACAGCAGAGAATGAGCCCACAGCTGGGCTGATCAACAACTACCCCTTCCAGTGCCTGGGTTTCACAGCTGAGCAGCAGAGGGACTTCATTGCTCGGGACCTGGGCCCAGCACTGGCCAACAGCTCCCACCGCCACGTCCAGCTCATCATCCTGGATGACAACCGGCTCCACCTCCCGCACTGGGCCAGAGTGGTGAGTGTGGTGACCCTGGGAAGAGCCCCTGTCCTTGTGGGGGGCTTGGGTGTTCTACCTGTGGCGGGCTGGGCCTCTGTGCCCTGTGGGATTGACTCTTTTCCCTGCCAGGTCCTGGAGGACGAGCAGGCAGCTCGCTACGTCCACGGCATCGGCATCCACTGGTACCTGGACTTCATCGGCCCCATACAGGACACAGTGCTGCCCACTCATGAGCTCTTCCCTGACTACTTTATCCTGGCCACGGAGGCATGCATCGGGGCCCATTTCTGGGAGAGGGATGTGATTCTGGGCTGCTGGGAGCGGGGGAACCAGTACAGCCACAGCATCCTGACGGTGAGGCCCCTGTGTGCTGGGCCCTGGGAGGGTTGGTGGTGCTGGGCAGGCATCTGAGCTGTGCTGTTGCAGAATCTGAACCACTTTGTGGCCGGCTGGACTGACTGGAACCTGGCCCTGGATCTGGAGGGGGGCCCTAACTGGGTCAAGAACTATGTGGACAGCCCCATCATTGTGGACAGCAGTGAAGGCATCTTCTACAAACAGCCCATGTTCTACCACATGGGGCACTTCAGGTGGGTTGGAGCCCACAACATGTGCTAAGCTGCCTTGTCCTGAGAGAAGCAAGGCAAATTTGGCTCCAGAGGAGCTCTCCTGGGGTCTCCCTGAGGTTGTTTCTCGTTTGTCTCTTCAGTAAATTCATCCCCGAGGGCTCCCAGCGTGTGGGGCTCGTCGCCTCCAGAGAGTCCAAGAAGACAGCGCTGGAGTACACGGCTTTCCTGCGCCCTGATGGGGCTGTGGTTGTGGTGGTTCTGAACCGGTGGGTGATGCAGCCTGGCCCCCCTGTGTGGGACCCCCATCCTGCCAGCCCCATATGGGACTCCTGTCCTGCTACCCCCATGTGGGATCCCATTCTGCCACCCCCATGTGGGACCCTTGTCCCATCATCCCTGTGTGTGACCCTCGTCCTGTCACCCCTGTGTGTGACCCCTGTCCTGCCAGCCCTGTGTGTGACCCCCGTCCTGCCACTCTTGTGTGGGACCCCTGTCCCATCAGCCTTGTCTGGGACCCCATCCTGCCACTCCTGTATGGGACCCCCATCCTGCCAGCCCCATGTGGGACCCCCGTCCCATCAGCCCTGTGTGGGACCCCCATCTTGCCACCCCTGTATGGGACCCCAGTCCTCCCACCCCTGTGTGTGACCTTCGTCCTGCCACCCCTATGTTGGACCCCTGTGCTGCCACCCCTGTGTGTGACTCCTGTCCCATCAGCCTTGTGTGGAACCCTCATCCTGCCAGCCCCATATGCGACCCCTGTCCTTCAACCCCTGTGTGGGACCCCCATCTGCCACCCCTCTATGGGCCCCCACCCCTCTGGGCCCTGTGCAGGTGCTGCAGGCGTGACCGCCCTGCTGTCACCCCACAGGTCCCCGCAGGACATCACCTTTGGGCTGGCGGACACCGTGGGCCTCCTGGCAGCCGTGGCTCCGGCCAACTCCATCCAGACCTACGTGTGGCAGCGGCAGTGACGGGGCCGAGGCGCCGGGGGCCAGACGTGCAGCCCCAGCTGCCCGCGGGCTCGGGCCGGGGCAGCGTCCCCAGGGCTGTGACAGAGCCAGAATGGGCCAGGCCGGGGACGCTGAGCGTGTGCAGGAGGGCCGGGGGCACAGTGCCCCTCAGGGTGGAGACCCCACAGGCTGTGAGCGCTGTGTTCTGCTGTTCCGACATTAAACACGGATGCTGCCTTGATGTGTGCGGCTGGAAGGGAAAGCTCCGGGTCCCTCCTCCGCTCCTGGGCACTGTGGCTGGGTGCCGCCCCGGCGTGGAGCCTGCTGGAGCCTGGCGAGCAGCACAGAGCATCTGGAGCGTTGTGGGCACCCCCTATCCCTGCCCAGCCCCTCTCCCTGCCCTGCCCCTGCCCCTCTGCCCACCTCAGACCCTGCTGAGATGCTCCAGGCATGACTCTGTCCCAGCTCTGAGCATGCACTGCCTGGCTGGGGCTGAGCAGAGCCCAGCTGTGCTCCTGCTGCTGTTGGGGACAGGTTTTAGGAGCTAGCAGGTGGCTCAGGAGTCACCCTGAATGCTCTGGGTGCTGCATCAGGAGCAGGCACAAAGCACTTGGACACCCACCCTCGATGGAAGGACTGAGCAGGGATTGCAGGCAAGCCTCAGCTTTCTGTGCTTTCCCTGCCACTCCGGAGCCACCTGCAGCCTGAGGTCAGGCCAGGGGCTCTGTGGGTCACATCTCCCCCAGACCAAGGTCCTGAGGCCGGGGCTGGAGGCAAAACCAGCTCCAGGAGCATGGCAGCATTGGGGGGCTCAGGCTCCCAGCCAGCTCTGGCTGAGCCCCAGCTCTGCCTGGAGCTTCCCTGTTCCCCATGGGGACTGATCCGAGGGGTCCCCACAGTGGTGAGGAAACTGGGGGTGCACCCAGGCCTCAGGGTCCCAGGCAGCTCTGACTGAGGTCAGGGCAGTGCCAGCTGCTTCTGGGGCTTTTTCAAGACAGGGAGGCTGAGCCCCAGCTGCTCTTGGTGATTTTTCTGGGGCAGAGAGGCTGCCCAGGCTGCAGCAGCCCTGCCTGGAACCTGCTGTTCCCCATGGGGACTGATCTGAGGTGTCCCCACTGTGGAGAGGAAACTGGGGGTGCACCAGGGGCTCAGGGTCCCAGGCAGCTCTGGCTGAGGTCAGGGCAGTGCCAGCTGCTCCTGGGGCTTTTTTGAGATAGGGAGGCTGAGCCCCAGCTGCTCTTGGTGATTTTCTGGGACAGGGAGGCTGCCCAGCTCTGCCTGGAGCCTGCTGTTCCCCATAGGGACTGATCTGAGGGGTCCCCAATGTGGTGAGGAAACTGGGGGTGCACCCGGGGCTCAGCACCCACCACAGATCCGGGGTGCCTGGAGCAAGCGGGGGCAGGAGCGGGAGTGGGTGCAGAGTGTGGGCGCACCCAGGAAGGAGGGAGGGAGCTGGCAGGGTGTGAGAGCAGGAGATTAGGGCAGGGAGGTCATAATTTCAGGGCGGCGGGGTTCCGTGCAGGTGGGATGTGCCCAGGGGTGCTGTCAGGACTGACAGCCGCGATACTGCGTGGGCTGAGCGCAGCCCAGGCGTGGCCGCTGAGTGACAGTGTCACCCTGGGACACTGGCACGCCACGGAGCCACAGCGATGCTGCTCGTGGGACCTCCGGGAGCTGTCGCCAGAGCCCTGTGAGAGCAGCGTGCTCCTGCCCCGAGGCTGTTTGTGTTTGTCCACAAGAGGGAAATGTTTCTCCAGGATCACGCAGCGAGCCCCATCCCCATCGCCCCGCTGCCAGCATCCCTCTCCCGGTGCAGGGCCGCTCCCCCACCTGTTCCTCGCTTACCTGCCCCGCTGCTCACGGCTGTGGCCGGATGCTGAATCACCCCGGTCCACGTGTCCCGGTCCCTGCGCTCGGCTCGGTGCTCAAGGACCGACTGGCTCCGGGATAAACGCAGCGGGGGCGAATCCTCCGACGTCGCTGGGCTTGGCTCTGCTCATTAATTCTTGTGCAAAGCCTTGGCTCGTGTGGGGTTCGTGGTGGCTGGGGGATGCTGGGGTCCCACCTAGAGCCAGTGGTTACCCTGGGGACTGTCCCCATGTGCTCTGGGCTGGGGTCTCGCTGTTGGGAAGGAGTTGCTGTGATGCCACACTGAGGCTCTTTGGCATAAATATCAACAAAGTCGTGATCCCCTGAAAGGTGACTCAGCCCAGCTCCGTGTCCCTGTGTCCCCATTCACACTGGCCTGACTTAGGGACAAAATTCACCCTCTGGCTCCTCTGAGGACAAAATTCACCCTCTGGCTCCTCTGGTGGCTCCTTTGACCCCACCTCCTTGAACAAACCCACCTGAGCACTGCAAAGGGCGCTCACACCATGCCACGAGGCCCCTGCGACCCCTAGGAGCTCCCCCTATTTGGAGATGGGCCACAAGAAGCAACTTTGGGGGCTTGGTGGGGCTGCCTGGCATCTGCTGTGCCAGCAGCTCCATGCGAGGCGTTGCCCGGCCCCTGGGTCTCACTTTTCCTGCTCAGCAGGGCGCTCTTATCAGCTGCTGATGATAAGGATGAGCCTCAGCAGCCTCCGCAGTGTTTTGCTTCCAGGAGCTGTGGGACCTGAGCCAGCTGGGGGGCTGTGGGTGATGGGGGGCAGGAAGAACTGGAGCTTGGAATGGGAAGGGGTGAACAGGGGCATCCTGGATGGCTGGAAGTGAGCTCCAAGGTGGCTGATTGCCTTAGGAGCTATTAATCCCTCCCCAAAATTGGGGCTCATTAGCCTGGGTGTAACAGTCTGGTCACACCTTAATCACACTTGGGAGGTGGGAGAGCCGCAGTGCAGCGGGACAGGGACAGGAGCTCCCTCCTGGGGCACCTGTTTGCCCCGTGAGATGTCACCAGGGGCTGCCTGGCCCCATCTGCCCCGGCCCCAGAGCCTCCAGGTGTCTCATGGCTCAGCTCCCAGCAGAGGGGTGGAACTGTGGCAGGGCCCATGGCAGGGCAGTGCTGGTGCTAGGAGGAAATTTGATGAATTGATTTGCCCCAGAGCTGTATCTGATATGCCAGAAATGGAGAAAATTACTCACAAAGAGCTGCTCCACCCACAGAGGGAAAGCTAACGGAACAGTTTAACCCTGTGCAGGGCAGCCCTGAGCTGCTGATTGATGCTCCAGGCCAGCAGAGCTGTGCCTGGGAGCTGTGGCCACTCTCCATTCCCACACCATCCCTGTGTGGGGGTGCTGAGGATGTCCCCACAGTGAGGGGGAACATCCTGGGGGGTGGCACCAGGTACGATCTGTGTGCCCAGGTGAGCTGGCCCAGTTCAGCCTTGGCTCGCTGGGCTGGAGGGTGACTCCTGGAGGAGCAGGGAGTGCTACAGGAGCACCAGAGCTGGGCTCTGCTCCTGGTGTTGGGACAGCAGGGTCAACTTTGAGGGTCTAACTGCTGTTGTTGGCAGCTGGAGTGCAGCCCTGCTTGCCCAGGGGCTGGGGTATTGCCTGCTTGCTGTCACTGCTGCCACTGTGTCACTGCTGTCACTGCTGTCACCTTCCCCTGCACATGCTGAGTTGGGGAGAGTGATGCTAAGGGCTTGGGCAGGGAATGGCAACAGCCCCAGCTCCCATGTGGCCACCCCTGCTGTGCCCCTGTGCTGCCCTGAGCTGTGCAGCCACGTTCACTGACCTTACCTGGGTGTCCTGGACCCTCCTGCACTGCCCTGTGGCTCCTGGGGGACAGTGGGGACAGCAGGGTGGCAAGCAGGGATACGTGGATGTCCTGTTGGAGGTCACGAGCATGACAGACAGCTGTGCCATCAACCTGCCCTTGGCTCTGCTGGGCTCTCAGGGTGATGATCCAGACCTGCCTGACAAAATAATCAGTTCTTCCTTTAGTGGGGTCTCTGTGACCCTTCCCTGTGCTGGCTGGACCTTTCAGTGAGGCCCAGCTGCCAGCACCATGTCCCTGTCCCTCCTTGCCGTGGCAGCGGAGGGCCAAGGGGACCCGGTGAGCCGGCGATCGGCGGTCCTCGCCCGAGGGCAGGTACGGGCCGGGAGCGGAGCAAGGAGGAGCTGTGGGGGTGGGAGAGGGTGTGCTGCGGAGGGAGGTCTCCGAGCAGCTCCCTGTAAAGGCCAGGTGGGGAGGCTGCAGCTGCTGAGGAGGAGGAGGGCTGGCGGCAGCGCAG